GAATTGCTAAAATTACATTTATACTTACGTCGTCAATTTTTTTTTGAAGAGCCCGCGGAAAGTTAGAACTTTTGACGCCATTACAGCAACAATACTGCTTGATAACAACGTTGGTCACATTCTCGACTATATTGAAAGAACCCTCAACGACATAGATTTTGAAGCTCAATTAGTAAAACACCATCTGAATTCCAGCTGAAAAGTACGTAAAATATTTGCTGGTAAAGTTTTTTTTTTGGATTAACATTAATTTAAAAGATCTTCATATTCTGATTTTGGTAATTGAGTTTTACCCCACCTTTTCTATTTCTATTTACAGCTAGTTCAATTCAAATTCAAAAATAAATTTTTTTTTAATAAATTTAAAATGTTTACCTTGACAATACTTACCTTGCAAAACTTTCATAGGTTTCTTCTCTGTAATTGACTGAACCAAATCCGCTAAATTTTTGTTGGGAATTATTTTTTTTTCAAAAGTAATTAAATAAGCAATTTTATCTCAGCGCGAGATATATAAAAATAGGTATTTACGCTGTATATTAATAAATTGTGTTTTTTTATAAACATTGAATAAAAACAATTTAAAATGTAGGGTGAAACCGTTATTAAACTTGGAACTGAACATCTTGGATATATTATTCCTTGCGTAGACAATTTTCACATTGTTGGATGCTTCGCTTTGAATGATCAAAGGAAGCTACTGCTATATATGATGATGGTGATGATGACAGAGTTTATCATTACAATATTGGATCACAAAATGTAAGTATTTCAAAAATGTTCAAATTTTAAAAAAATGAATAGGTTATTTATAATTAATTTTACTCCTATTTAAACATTTCTTGGACTAGTTTGTTATTCATGCAAAATGAGTTGTGGTGGCTAGAGAATTTGATTCTTGTCAGAAGTCTTGTCAAAATTCGCGAGAAAACGTAAATCCATATGCTTCTAAGCATTTATTTTGGTATTTCTACATTTCCAATTGATCTTATTATTTATTTATAGTATGAACCTTCAGAAGGCGTCATAATTGAAGAAATGGGAGTAATAATGGTATGTGATGTAATTTGCATTTTTTTTTAATGATCAATTCATTACTAAATGTTTTTCTATCATTTTTTAGGCAATTTGTAATTCAAAAATATAAGTTGTCTTACGTCGCGTTATAACTTACAACAGGAGTTTCTTTTAAGCGATACATAATCTTTTAACATATTTTATGACGTTGATGGCAAAAATCTTCGTGGGTACGTAATTTATGATTATCTTAGTTAATTTGCTATTTTTAGACGATTTTTGAAGTCGCGGATTAACTTTTTTCTGCATCTGTATATCGGGAACATTGTAGTGAATAAGCATCAATAGGTTCGGAATTTTTCCCACGCAAGTGTTTATTTTACTGGAAACGTTTCCATATAATTGTTTTGTAAAGTCATGAGATATAGTAAAACATATGTAATTTTACTGGCAACGCACCGAAATTTTCTCATATAACATGCAACTTATTGATGCTTAGGAGTTGATTCACGTATGCCTTATGCATCGATTGTAAACGATTTGGCACACAATATTACGAAACCGATAATCAAAGGTAATATCTAGTATGAATATTTGTATTTTATTATATTCTTCAAGATCTTAAATTGTTTTTTAACTACTTAGGTGAAATAAGTAAAAGATATTTCGGTCAGAATGAAGGTCGAATTATGATTATCAATTATTAGTCTGGATCGTAGCGAAGAACTTTTATTGTCTACGCGCTATGATGAAAATGTCCCGCTGTCCCGCTCAAAATTAGAGTCGATACGTAGTTGGTCACTTTCGTTACACTTGTGCTCCGGGATATTAATTGAAGTTTTGTTAC